GAATGAGATAGACACTAAATTAAGCAGCGATCTCAATGAGAAAAGAAGAAAAAGCACAAGAGAAACAGGAGAAATTTACAAGGATTTGACTTCTTCTCTGCGTGTGTGCTTAGAAAGTGTCATCTTAAATTCTGCTGAGAAAAAGGAGCTGGAGGTACCCTTCATAATCAAGAAACCTTTGAGAAGCCACTGGACCCTGAGACCAGAGCGAAAGAGGCTTAAGACTAGCGCTTCTATTCCTTTGAATGGAAGAAGATTGGGCTGCAGTGAACGTCTAAGAAGATATCAAGAATTTAGAGAGTTTTAGTATAGATGTAAAGGCAGAAGGACTTTGCAAATTGCCTTTATGAAACGAGCTGGAGGAGATGTTCAGGAAATCTTCTCATAACAAGTAACAATCTAACATATAAGCTTAGAAAGACAGGATCTCACAAAGTATATTGTTTATTAACAGCCTTTTCTTTTACTAACAGCATTTTAACAGGGAATGATCTCCTAACCTTGGGTTTTTAGCTTAGTGTGGGTTATCTTTTCTTTCTCCCTAAAATTGTAGTCCCCTACCCCCTTTTTTTCTTGGTAGTTTATGTCGTATTATAAAAAAAAATAAAAAAATCCCCCCTGGGGGCTTAACAAAAATAGTAGGATTACTGCAGAATTGGCAAAGTCCTTAATTGATCACGCAAGGAGAAAGTGAAGTCTCCTTTGCGTACTGCCAGAACAAGATTTGATATTATGCCTGAAACATGCAGTAGATATTTATCAAATATATTTATGAAATATGCATGATTTCAAGAAAAAAATCTTAGTCTCACAGCCTAAACAAATTCAGAGATTATCCACATTGGCATCCCTGTATTAATGCTTGTACCCACAAGCCATACTAGGGATGTGCATTCAGAATTTTTCAGATTTGGATTTCAGGAAAGGTTTCACAGTAGTAATCCAGATTATTCAGGTCTTAATACCATTTCAGAATTTGGATTTGGGTTTCTTTTGGAATTCCAAAATTTTTAGCTCACTTATTCCCTACGAGAGACTCTTTCTAGGGGACTGGTTAATTTTCAAGCAACTAATACAAAAATTTTAGAGAACCTAGTCGTTCCTGTCCACTAAAGATTCCCAAAGTTTCAGGAAAATCAGATCATGGGGTCTAATTCTACAGGCCCTACCTGTCTCCATTGTTTCCTATGGGAAAGGAAAACATTATATGTTTTCCACAGGGCAGAGAAGCCAATAGCCAAACACACAAGAGCAACCACTGGTCAAAAGCCTCCAAATGCAAACAGAACCAACATGTCCAACAGAACCAATGTCAAACCCAAGAATCAAAGGCTAACCAATTTAAACAAGGAATACAGTTGCAAGCCCAACCAAGCCTGTAAATTTGAAGAAAAACAGGTCTGCACACCTTAAAATACAGGCCCTGAATATTCTTGATCACATCCAGCATTTTTCAGGACCCAACTATCCATGGCCACCCTTTCTCTCCCTCTCCCCGCTGGACTGCAAACAGGACCCTGGGTGTGTCTGGGCTCTGGCTTCTTTAAAATGTCATTTGACAATTAAACAGTTGCCATCATTACCCTGAAGTCTTTAGGCAACTGCCAAATGTGAAGTTGAACTTCATGTCATTCCCTCCCTATCCTGTAGAGAGGGGAAGGAATCAAAAGGAAGCAGTTTGGCATCAGTGGCCTTTGCTGGATCAGCTGCAGAAAAATCTTTTCTCACTGAATACAATGGTTTATCCTTTGAAAGAAAAGACTAGGGGTGTGCATTCAGTATAAACCAAACTGAAAAAATACCCCAGAAATGCTTTATTGGTTTATTTCATGTATTTATTCAACCAAAATCAGATTAGACAATTTGATTCAGCTACTGATATAGCTGGCCCGAATAAAAGCTGAAATTATTATTAACAAGTGCACCTGCAAACACCAATTTGTAAACTTGACAATTTTGCTCTCTTGAAATTCTTCCTTGGAGTTTGCATTAGTTGAGAGCTTGGCACTGTTCCTCACGGGTTTTTGACGCTTTGATGCTCCTCTGAGGAGTAAAGTGCTTTTGATGATTAATGATAAGGTAAGCTGCTTTTTTTAGGTATTATATTGATGCATATTGGGGGGGGGGGTTGCTTTAAATTTAAATCTTATGAATTCCATTCGCTCCAATATAGAATCATCAAAGGAAGACTGCATGAACTATACTCTCTGATGAAGATATGAAATGCCTGAGACTATCTGGGATCTGTGTTAGTAGTAGTTCAATGTAAAGAGTTTAAGGATTGCCACACCCATGTGGTTATACTGTGGAGTTCTAAGCCTTGCCAAGCTCATTTCAGCATTTAGTGGATGTTCCATGGCTTTTGAAAATATTGGTCCAGTTCAAGGTCTATAGTAAAGTGCTTTTGATGATTAATGATAAGGTAAGCTGCTTTTTTTAGGTATTATATTGATGCATATTGGGGGGGGGGTTGCTTTAAAATTAAATCTTATGAATGCCATTCGCTCCAATATAGAATCATCAAAGGAAGACTGTATGAACTATACTCTCTGATGAAGATATGAAATGCCTGAGACTATCTGGGATCTGTGTTAGTAGTAGTTCAATGTAAAGAGTTTAAGGATTGCCACACCCATGTGGTTATACTGTGGAGTTCTAAGCCTTGCCAAGCTCATTTCAGCATTTAGTGGATGTTCCATGGCTTTTGAAAATATTGATCTGGTTCAAAGTTTATATCTTTATTGATACCATTGTTTAAAAAGGACCGTTTTTCACTTCAGTGACTTTGTAAATACACACTCCAGTCTTGTTATTCATGAACCTTCTATCTTGTGATTGGTTTATGTTATTGTATTTTTTGTCATTGTGTATGTATGAAACAATAGAAAATTGGATATTAGGACACTTATGAACATTTCATAATACAAACCCAAAAAATACTTAGATTTGTTATTTGAATATTCACTGTTAAAAAAAGCATACAGCATTTAGCTTAGGCTATTAGATTAGATTCTCGTTTCTGTATTCCTTTTCTATTAACCTTACAGAAAAAGAACAACTCACGTGGACCTTCTTTATTACAATGCATGGATATGAATGTGCAAAGAAGTTCAATACTGTATTATTGCTCAAACTTGAATACTAGAGGAAAATATATTTGCTATGGTTTTTAAAGAGTGCCAAAACAACTCTAAATTGTTTGACTGAATATGTTCTGTGATCATTTACTAAAGACAGATGCTATAGAAAGATTGTCCCTTAAGTATGTAATAAGAAACTGGACCTTCAAAGAAGTTTCCACAATTTCTACAAAAATCAGTGTCAGGAGGGGACTCTCCCCAACCCCGTCCTGACCGACAGACAAGAGAGACAGGAGTGGGACATCAGGCCCAAGCCCGAGGAGATAGAGGCCAGTGGGGAGTCGCCCACCCCCTCCAAGCAACACACCCAGGGATACCCACCTTCCATTGCCAGGGCGCCAGAGAGCCCCTGCAGGGATTCCCAGAGGGGACAGGAATCCTTTCACAATGGCCAGCCAGAGGAACCCTGACTGCCAAGGGAGGACACGGGGGAGGAGGAGGGCACCTGCCCACTCAATGATGGCTGGATTGCGAGGTGGAAGGCTGGGGAAGATGCCCCTGGGGCCCAGCTGGGGCCAACCTCTGCCGCATGGCACAGCTGCTTTAAGGCCAGGGGAGGCGGGGTGGGCCAGGTGGAGGAGGAAGAATAAAAAGAAAAAAGTCGCCAACCTGTGAGGACATACCTGGTCTCTATGCAGAAGGATGCGGGGACAGAGCTAGAGGTCCACTCGGCCGAACCCACTTGAACACTCCTAAATAGAGACCAGGGAGCTGCGAGAAGGGGAGTGAAGCAATTTCCCAGTGTGGCATTCTGAGGCCCATCTAACTTGGATACTCTCCCTCCGACCCTGGACCCACCACACCTCCCGGAGTCGACTCCAACTCAGCAGGTACTGACAATCAGTTTGAGGATTGTCAAGATATTGCCGTTTAAGAACTGTAAGTGTTTGCTGAAGCTAGGCAGTTAATGTGTTTTAGCTGAAAGAACATAGCATAGCAGCATGGTTAGCCTAACACCTGTTACTAATTACCAGTTAGGGTAATCTAAAGCAACTGGTAAATGTCAAGAGTCACAATGACTCAGGAAGATCTTGACAGAAGGCCATCTAAACTTGCCACGTGCTAACCCTAAATTGGCCAGTAATTGAATGACAGCTTGACTGCTATTTAGTGGGAGGTGAGGCAAGGCTAGGAAGAACACTGGCTCGGTCCAGAGAGAGAGCCAAGGTAACCACGCTGTGTTGCTCATGTATTGCTGGAAGAAGACACCGGGATGCTTGAAGGAGGCTTTCCAAGCACCTTTCCAGGAGGCTCATTGGATCAGATGGATGGTATCTTGGTGATAAGGCCGTTAATGCCGGAAAGAGGGCTGCTACTCCCTGGCTCCAGCCCAGCTTCTTCAACTAAGCTGCTTTGAGCGTTTGCTCAGGATAAGTAATCTAGGATAGTTAGCTAGGTTTCTGTTTTTTTATGTTGTACCTCGTCCACTTGTTTTTCCCTTACTTGTTTGCTTTTATTCCTCTATCTTTTTGTAATAAAAGTATTATTCTTTTAATTGGAATGAGTCACTGACCTATGAGTTTGGCTACTGGTATCTATTAGGCTAAGGGAGTTTTAAACAAACATCCCTCCCTCTCTCTTACTGTGTGCTGGTTGAAACGACCCTGAACAAGGAAAACATCCCTGTAGTCTCTGGGGCAGCCCCGTTTGAGGGCAATAATACAGAGGCGGAAGGGCAGGGTCATGACAATGATACAGTGCTAAGATATTCAGTTGCTTCAGTAGCTCTCTATAGGTACAAACCCAGACATTTTCACTTTCTTCCCACTGAAAGAACAGTCCTAGTATGTGATTGCTCACGGTGTAAGCTAAATAGCAACACAAATGTTAACAATTTAAATGCTCCCCCACACGTTATTTTGTTATGAGAGGAACAGAGGAAATTGTCTCTATAGAGGAAGAGGGAATTTTCAATCATCCACATCTTCTGTAAAGTAATAGAAAAAATGCTTTGAGCCATTTTAGAACTGTATTTTGAAACTTCTTTTACAATGAAAAATATTAATTCTTTGGGTGAGTGGATGGATGTGACAATACATTAAAACATTTTAAAATATTGAAACTGTACCTCACCTGCTCCAGATGAAAAAGTACATTGGCTATATCCAGAACCCGTTCCACTGTTTTCTCTGGATCTGAGGTAACTTCAGTCCTGTTCGGTAAATCTTTGTAAAGAGCCATCTGCCACCTAATGGCAGGATCTTCAAGCTGCAGGAACAACAGATTTTACAAAAAAATAAGTGAAGCATTAGAATTTAAGAATCAAACTGCTAGAAGCATTGTCAACCATACGTCTACACATAACTAGACAATGATCAGTGTAACCCACCTACCCAGGCTGTAGCCCATAAAAATCTTACTCAAACGTTTCCACCAGGCTGACTAGTGTATGAGACATTACACAGCAAGATATAGCCCATAGAAATTTCACTGCCTACGGTACTTATTCTACAACAACAGAGTATCTGATTCCATTTCTTTATCTTTAAACACCCACATCAGCAATTAGTAAAGTTCATTTAAAAGCAACAGTGTGAGGGAATATTTGCATTAAATACTGGACTAGTAACTTGCTGTTTATTTGCTGTACTCTTACATGCACTAAAATTCAAACATTAGCAAGCAAACCAATATCCACTAAAAATACAGAAATCTAAAGATGTGTTCTATTGGCATAACTGCTCTTCCCCTAGTGGAACGGTATACTTTCATGGGTGGATGAGCATTACTCTAAGAAAACTTCACTATATACAATAATTTTTAGAATTTTACATTCATTTTACTGTCATTTATTTATATTCGTCTTAAATTATGTTAGCTGTTATATGGTATTTAACTTATTTAAATCATGTTATTCTATACTGTTGTTAGCTGTCTCAAGACTTTGAGAGACAGGATATAAATTTGAAAAATAAATAAAAAAAATAACGTTGGCCCCGTTCACATGGAGCATTTGCCGTGCTAAAGATATGGATGATAGGCAGATTTTCCGGGCACGATCGCACTGCAACCTCTGGGAAGCGTAGTGCATCCGTGGCTAACCCGTGGCTTCTTGCCGAAGATGCAGAGTAAAAAACTACCACATAAGATGTACTGGTTTCCGGAAAATGTGGGGCAAGGGCAAGTGTCTGATCATGTTTCCGCTGGAATCCCTTGGCATCCGGCGCCCGCCCATGTCCCGTCGCAAACCGGATGTTTTTCTTTTTTTAAGTCTCCACAGGATGTGCACAAACGCCCACCAGCACATGCGCACACTGTGGTGAGGGGGAAAAATTCCCGTTTGCCAGGGAAGTGGCACCTAGCAATTGCCAGTGTGATTGCACCGCGCAGCTTATTTGCTGTGCCGCAGGATAGCTGTGTGATCGGCACCTAACGGCATACCCACAGGACCCCCACGGGACATGTGATCGGGCTGCTGCGCGTTACTTTGCTCCTGGGCAAACAGCCACGCTTCCCCCTCTCATTTTCCAGCTCGTGTGACCGGGGCCGTTCTTCTGTTAGTGCAAGGCATGGCAAGGCACAAAAATAACTGCTCTGAGTTAGGCCTCAGTTCCTGCGACAGGAGGAAACAAATATATCAGTAGCTCCCCAAGCTCACTAGGGACCAACTGAGCCAGCCTCCACTGGGGTTGTCAATCTTCAGGTGATGGCATTACATCCCTCCTGAGCTCCCTCTCCAGATTCCACCCTCCCAGGCTCTGCCACAAGTTGGCTTGTCGTCTGCTTCCTTGATGTTCCTTGGCCTTCCCCCTTCTTCCTATCATCTCTCTAACCAGATTTATTCCATCTGTCCAAATACAAATGCTGATGTAATAGTGCTGGTAAATCAAGTTGCCTGGATTTTCCCATCACTGACTGGGCATTTTCTGTCCCTCACATTTTCTTTTCTCGGCAAGCCTTTGGGGCTGGAGTTCTTTTTTTTTCACCTTTGCCCTTTATATCAAGCTCTGAACCAGCTGCTTTCAACACAAAAAATGTCTCACTGAACTATCATACATATACATAGGCCAAGGACAGATTGGCAGTTTGAAGTGCGAGGGAGTTGTGGCAAAAAGATCCAGCACAAACTGTTCCGGGTTTTCCCAGTCACACTGCACCAATTGATGCAGGAGTATACTCGGGAGGAGGTGCAAGGGAGCATTCGCACTGTTGGCCCACCCTTGGCAGAGCCGTGGCTGTAAGGCACAGCTCTCTTTTTGGTAATCCAGCGATATGCATTTATGCGCATATGCGCATAAATGCACAAGCAAATTGCAGCTTTCGGCGTTCACACTTTGTTGGTGCGGGATGAACGTGGAATGACCGCGCTCTCCAGGGTTTGCTACCACTTTCACCAGGTACTTTTTAAACTCGGGAGGCAAGCGCTACAAGATGGGCTGAGTACGGCTAGGGAACCCCTGACAGATGTGGCTGTGTGAATGGCCCCTTTAATCCGTTTGTAAAACGTTTCTGGCACGTGCCTATCTCAGGGCAAACTGCCAGTCTGAACTCAGCCACAGATGGCAAAAATGTACACAAAGACACACATGCACGCACACACACTTCTTGCTGTGGATAAGTCATTCCAGCTGTCTAACCCAATGTAGGGATAAATGTTAATTCACTTCCACTTTGAAATCAAAGGCAATCTTACACTAAAATGCAACAGCCTCAGTTGATCTGATATGGACAAGGCAATTGGTACCAGGAAGCTACTTACAAATAATTCAGCTCATTTACAGTGAGCACTTTCATGCATTTTGCCTACCAGATATGGCTGCTAACTGTATCCTATATATGCAAATGAACATATTCTCAAGAGCTACACAGAGTTTCACTGTAAGGTTAAAGAAAGTGTTGCAACATTTTAAAGCTTTGAGCTGGAACAGCTTTATCATTCACTTAGTTATTTAACCTACAAAGCCTCTGATGTCCTTAACTTCTTAACTGGATTATGGAGAAAGCAAGAGAGTACCAGAAAAACATCTACTTGTGCACGTCTACTTCTGCTTCATTGACTATGCTAAAGCCTTTGATTGTGTGGATCACAACAAACTATGGCAGGTCCTTAAAGAGATGGGAGTACCAGACCACCTCACATGTCTCTTGAGAAACCTGTATAAGGGTCAAGAAGCAACAGTTAGAACCGGATATGGAACAACTGATTGGTTTAGCATAGGAAAAGGAGTACGACAAGGATGTATATTGTCACCTTGCTTATTTAATATATATGCAGAGTACATCATGCAAAATGCTGGCCTGGATGAATCACAAGCCAGAATTCACTCCTTGGCAAATAGAAGGGGAAGTCGTGGAAGTAGTGACAGACTTCACGTTCCTGGGATCCCAGATCACCGCAGACTGTGACAGCAGCCATGAAATTAAAAGATTTCCTTGGGAGGAAAGTGATGGCGAACCTAAACAGCATGATAAAAAGTAGAGACATCACCCTGCCAACAAAAGTCCGCATGGTCAAAGCAATGGTATTCCCAGTAGTCATGTATGGCTGTGAGAGTTGGACTATAAGGAAGGCCGAGCGCCGAAGAATAGATTCTTTTGAACTATGGTGCTGGAGGAGACTCTTGAGAGTCCCTTGGACTGCAAGAAGAACAAATCAGTCAATCCTCAAAGAAATCAACCCTGACTGTTCCCTGGAAGGCCAGATAATGAAACTGAAGCTCAAGTACTTTGGCCACCAAATGAGAAGGGAGCACTCACTGGAGAAGACCCTGATGCTGGGAAAGACTGAAGGTCAAAGAAGACGGGGACGGCAAAGGATGAGATGGTTAGACAGTGTCATAGATGCAATGAACATGAAATTGAGAAAACTTCAGAGGACGGCGGAAGACAGGAAGGCCTGGTGTGATCTGGTCCATGGGGTCGCATATGTTTTTATATATTAAAAGACATATTAAAATATATTAATATAGATTACTAAGTATGGGCCCCATGTCCCCATCCCCCAGAAATTATAAGAAGTCTATGTCCTTGGTTCATACATGGTTTGGTGTTATATGAGTGACTCTTAGTCTCCTTCTTTCCATTTCCATGGTCTGATTCTGTCCTTCACTTTTGATTCATACTAAACTATATATGCTGGTTCTGATATAATGGCAAACTATGATTGGTCAGAAATGACAAAGTCCAGGATAGCACTGGAGTATATGAAGAGAGAACAAAGAAAGTGTCAAAGTGAAGACAGAGTGTCAAAGATTAGGGATTACATGTAATCTAGCCCAATGTGAACAGTATGAAAAGGAAGGGTAAACTGCCTGATAATGTTTTGAAAATCCCCAGAGCCCTCAAATGGACAGGTGTGCATGAAGTTCAGTCTCACAAATCAAGAATCCTTGTATATAACTTTCCATAAGGCCAAAGGGTTAAGAGCCAGGAACAAAACTTTGTTGAAAGATCAGAGCAAAGGGCTTAGAAGCCAAGGTCAAATTATGGCCAGAAAATGAGATATTTCCTCCCACTCCCTCCATCAACCAGGACAGGAAAAGATCTAATTTTACAAGGCAAAAGAAACTAACAGTTAACGAGCATTCACAAAGACAATTCTTTCAATTGGTTCAAAGGCCTGGATTCTTCACAGCACAAGTACAGCTATATTCAATACTGGGCAGCTTTTCAGACCTCCTGTTGAAGTCTTCTGGAAATAGGGCTCCTGTAGGTTAGTAGAATCCCCCAAGAACATAATGGGGACCAAAGTGGGAGGTAGGAACCAGTGAAAATTGCCCTTTCTTCTCTTCTTCTAGCAGGAAAGCCTTCCATGAGTGGAACAGAAGTATAGGATCCAAGCAAAGCATACAACGAAAATATAAGCACAGGGTCCTGTGATAAGTGAAATATGGCATACATTAAGGTTCCAAGAATTAGAAGAGAAGAAGAAGAGAGAGGCTTACAAACTCCTTTCCCTTCCCCTCCCCACAACAGACACCCTGTGAGGGGTGGGGCTGAGAGAGCTCTTTCCAGAACTGTCCTTGAGAGAACAGCTCTGACTGAACTATGGCTTGCCCAAGGTCATCCAGCAGCTGTAAGTGGAGGAGTGGGAAATCAAACCCGGTTTTCCCAGATTAGATTCCACACATGATATGATTCAGTAGCGGCAGGCAACTAAATAGGTAAAGGTAAAGGTTCCCTTGCTCGAAAGCCAGTCGAATCCGACTCTAGGGTTGCAGTGCTCATCTCCGTTTCAAAGCCGAAGAGCCAGAGCTGTCCGAAGACACTTCTGTGGTCATGTGGCCGGCATGACTAAACACCAAGGCGCACGGAATGCTGTTCCGAAGTGGTACCTATCTATCTACTTGCAATTTCTTGCTTTTGAACTGCTAGGTTGGCAGGAGCTGGAACTAGAGATGGGAGCTCACTCCATCATGTGGCACCCGGGTCTCGAACTGCTGTACTGACCTTCCACAGCCTGCAGTTCAGCGTCTTAACCACTTGAGCCACCGCAGCTCAAATATGATTCAGTAGCAGCAGGCAACTAAATAGACATTCTTAAAAAGACATTCAAACTAGCAACAGGAAGAATAAACACAAGGCTGCTATTTCCTATGAGGCAAACGATAAGAAAAATTACAACATACAAAAAAGGCAGAGTACAGAGTGGATATCCTAAACACCAGAAGCAGGCTGAAGTTATTAAAAAGAAAATCAAAAGCAAACATAGAATGTATAAAATTACCTTGCCCTGTAAATGAAGGTTATTGCGAATAATATCTCGAACTTCATCCTCTGTGTCTTTCTGTCAAAAATATTCATAATATTAGACACAGTACATGCAGTTGTCTTGCCTGCATGTGCAGTTCAGAAATGAATAACATTCTTCAACAGATTTGTTGCATTAGTGCATAGGAATGGGCACGAACCAGAATATTCCGGGTTGGTTTAAGGTTTGGGGTGTACCCAAACCCAAACCTAAACTAGGCACTTACTTACCTGTTGCATGGGACCATTACAAGATAATCTTCCCACAGGCCCTTTTTAAAAGTGGCACAAACAAGAAACATATGTAACATCAAGGAGGTGGCTGATAGCCTTTGAGCACAAGGGGCTCTTAGAATATATGCTTGAGATCTGTGTATTATATGTTTATATAAATCCTCCTTACCTCTGTCCTCCCTTTCAAAAAGCAGTTCAGAAAGCTGCACCTGAAGTGTACCAACTCTTGCATGATTCCTTCACCTCACAAGAGTTCTGCCACCATTTTTTCTTTGTCTGTTGCCAGTGCAACCCAAATAGTGATTACATTTTCACAGAAGTAAGTAATCTTGTGAGAGTTCAGGAAACAGTACAAGGCATCCATAACCTCCTCCCTCCACTCCCCATGGCTGTTCTGAATGTTTAAAAAAAATCACAGGAGATTCATATAACAAACATTCTTTGTCACTCCTACCTAAGCCCTTAGAAAGAGAAATAAAGGGGTTTAACTAGACACATAAGAAGGAGCAGTGCAACCTCAGTTCTATGTCCACTGAGATACAGAAATATCTATGTACTTAACCTACCATACTTAATCTGTTTTTTGCCAATGAAATTAATTCTTGGTCACCAGGTGCACAAATATTTAGCCCAACAGGTAACAGTCTTTTCAATGCTGCCACAATAAGAGAGGTCTGTGTTGAATAGCGGTCACCTTTCCGCTTCATTTTTTTCCTTTCCTGATCAGAGACAGCTGCCTGCAATATGGAAGAAACAATCCTTGTTCAAATATCTGTAAAATAGGAAAAACAATCACCTATCTCACAGGGATGTTGAGTCAAACGATGGGAGAAATATACACAATTCAAAAAGTCAAGAGCATTTTGCACATTAAATGCTTTTCTCCAATAATTATGAGGCACAGGAGAATAAAGTTATTCTCTAAGCATGCTTTTCACCTTTATCTTCTTTATAAGACAATCTCCCTTCCATCTGATCCATCTAAACAAACTGTACTCTGTTCTACTACATAATTAGAGTTCAGTGGCACCTTTAAGATCAACAAAGGTTTATTCAAGGTATGAGCTTTCATGTGCAAAGCACACTTTTCCAGATACATTGGAATGGTGCTTAAGGTTCAAACTTATAGACAGGGAAATTAACATGTAACATGATGATGTTTAAGATGTGAAGTCCAAATTAACAAGCTAAGGTTATAAGGTCAACAGTTGTAAAGCAATAAATATGTCTGAATAGCAGATAAATATCCAAAGGTGTATTTTCTAATTGTGGGAAGCAAGCCGAGAATCTCCATTCTCTTCTCCCAAGTGTGAAGATGACTTAACAGCACTTTTTGAGGTGGATGCAGTGTCATGTCAGCAAAACATCCCAATATTCCTGGCAATGGGGGGCACGGAAGGATCTATAGCACACAATCAGTCTGCCGTCAGCCATTGCAGGGTGACAAAGGGGGAGGTGGGTCTTCCGGCACTGCAGCCACTTCCGCATCAAGATGCTAGCACCTCACGGGGGGGGGGGTTGGTCCTTGGTGACCACCTCGGTGTGGGTATCGGCCCTGAGACTGCTCCTGCTGGCCTACCCCCACTGAAGTGGTACCTATTTATCTACTTGCAATTTCTTGCTTTCGAACTGCTAGGTTGGCAGGAGCTGGAACTAGAGACAGGAGCTCACTCCGTCATGCGGCACCCGGGTCTCGAACTGCTGAACTACCAACCTTCCACAGCCTGCAGTTCAGCGTCTTAACCACTTGAGCCACCGCAGCTCCCAAGATATACAATGATATTAATGCTGTCTAGTACTAGCGTACTTTAACAGCATTTATAAAACTCTCACAGCAGAGAGGCACAAGAACTCTGAGTGCATAATCTTTTGACTGCTTGAGTTGTTAGGCATCCACTTAATAGCAAAGGCCACTTCTGATCAGGAGTCTATGCAAGTCAAAAAAACACCTACTGAAAATGTCCCCAGCAACTCTGAGAAAACAGTAAAGAAAGAGTTTGGAATTTAAAGAGTTATTAATCTGAAGATTTATTTTGCTGCCCACATAGTTTTTAGGTATATAACTCCTGTAAATATTAGTACCTTGGACATCTTGGACTTGGTGTCAGTAATAAGGAAAGACATGTTGTTAATTTCATTCTGCACAACAAAGTTCTGCTCTTCCCTTTTAAAATTCTGAAATGGTGCAAAACATTATGGTTAACAACATTGTTTAGGCAAACTAAAAAGTAGGTTAAATATGTGATGCATTATTTACACAACAAAAACTAGATTTATGACTATTCATATTTTTTATTAATCTGCATATACAGTCTTTCTGCGGACCTGTTTGGAATATATACAGTCCTGTATACATTGAATACTCAGTGTGCCAGCCTTGCTTTAGTTACCACAAGCTCACACAGTGGTATGTAACTTCTGATTGGGGTCAAAACCTGGCCTACCTTAGACAAAAGTAGTTACCATGGCTACCTCAGCAATGGTCTCCGTTGCTTTACTTCTATGGCAGGAAAATAAAGCACTAAAGAATAAGCCACTAAAGAATAACCTACTACCCTCTTAAACTAGGTTGCCCAGCCTCTATGGGTATCTTCTGGGCATGGAACAGCAGTCACTGGGGGTGTGGAGGGGAGAAAGTATTTGTGAATTTCCTGAATTGTGCAGGGGGTTAGACTAGATGATCCTGGAGGTCCCTTCCAACTCTATGTCTCTATGAAAGCTCTGTTTAGTTCCTACCACAGTAAAGCCTTCATTTTGTTGATCTCCATCTCCCCAACACCTCAGAGCAGAACCAGCTTCTTTCTTGTTTGTTTTGCATTTTGCCAGCACATTGGTTTCAGGCCACTACAATCCAATTCAGCAGAGGAAGCAGGACCACACCTAATTTAAGTATGCTAATAGAAGTAGAATAGTCACTCCTGAAGAGAAGACTTGTCTCACCCAGTGCCTGGCCATCATATTATTAATCAAGGATCCCAAGCATTAATCGGTATGCCTCTAGCTACCAGCGTAATCCACTGAATCACTGTTTCCATGACCTAACCATAGGACCTATGCCTATATATGATCTTCCTTTATTCCATTTCCCATTTTGAATTTACCTGTCCTAGTGTGCCTAGTGTGTCAAGAAGCGACAGTTAGAACCGGATATGGAACAAATGATTGATTTAGCATAGGAAAAGGAGTACGACAAGGATGTATATTGTCACCCTGCTTATTTAATTTATATGCAGAGTACATCATGCAAACTACCAGCCTGGATTAATCACAAAATGGAATTAAGACTGCCAGGAAAAACATCAATAACCTCAGATATGCAGACGTTACCACTCTAATAGCAGAAAGTGAAGAGGACCTAAAGAGCCTCTTGCTCAGAGTGAAAGAGGAGAGCGCAAAAGTTGGCTTGAAACTCAACATCAAAAAAACTAAGACCATGGCTTCCAGACTCATCACTCCTTGGCAAATAGAAGGGGAAATCATGGAAGCAGTGACAGACTTGTATCACCCTGCCAACAAAAGTCCATATAGTCAAAGCAATGGTATTCCCAGTAGTAATGTATGGCTGCAAGAGCTGGACCATTAGGAAGGCCGAGCACTGAAGAATAGATGGTTTTGAATTATGGTGCTGGAGAAAACTCTGGAGAGTCCCTTGGACTGCAAGGAGATCAAATCAGTCAATTCTAAAGGAAATAAACCCTGACTGTTCCCTGGAAGGCCAGATACTGAAGCTGAAGCTCAAATACTTTGGCCACCAAATGAGAAGGGAGCACTCACTGGAGAAGACCCTGATGCTCAAAGAAGAAGGGGATGGCAAAAGGATGAGATGGTTAGGCAGTGTTATCAATGCAACAAACATGAAATTAAGCAAACTCTGGGGGACAATGGAAGACATGAAGGCCTGGCGTGATGTGGTCCATGGGGTCATGAAGAGTCAGACTCAATTGTGTGACTGAACACCAACAACTAGTTGAATTGACCAAGATCCATTTCACTCATTAGGCCAGGACTGACTCTAAATACATTCCCTCTCCACCTGGAAGCTTTCTTTCTTTTACCTCTTTTGGAATTGTTCCCAGGATGCTGGACCAGCGCACCCTCCCCCTATTCTAGTCTGTCCTCAAATCTGTGCCTCCTTTCTGAAGTTTCTGCCATCTGTCCTATAACTGGGGACAGAATCCTTCTCCAAATACCACTCTGCATGCCAAAAACTACATTTGTCTTGTGGGCTGTTTAGCCTACATCAGCTGCAACCATATATGGATTTTGTTTCTTCCCCTGTTGGATTATTGGGTATCTGGATCTGTGGACCATATTTCAAGTGGAATTTACTGGACTGACTAGTTAGTAGGCTTTTAATATTGCGTATTGACATGGAATGCTTGATACTTTTTGATTTCTTGAAATTTACTAATTCATCACCCCAAATATTTGTATTATTCCACTTAGAAACTTTATTGTTGATTTCAATGCTAGCCGTACCTCAGTGTTCCTTCCAAGCTCATACTAGTGCCTTGCTGTTTAGTCAGAGAACTCCTACTACTGTTGTACAGGTGAGATTTGAGAGTTTATTTAAGCTAGATATAGAATCTAAACCATTAGCACTGTGCTTTTCTCACTTATGGGACCCAAAGCAGTTTACAACAGAAAAAAACAGGAACATTACATAAATCAATAAACAACAAAACAAATTACATCTTGGGCCAGTACTGGATTCATTTGCTGGCTTATATGAAGGCATGGGCTAAGAGTCAAAGGACCCCAATGTCACTTCTGGGTTTGGATCAGGAAGTGATGTCATCATGTCCCAGGAATATCCAAATGTCTGTTTTTTACCACAAAGATTTGAAAATTCCTAGAGCATCAATATGTCACTTCCTATTCCAAAACCAGCAGTGATGTCCCACCACCATCTCTACCCCATTTCCCCCCTGCTGCTTCACTGAGCAAGGGTAGGATATTGGGGACATCAGTGGGATGTTGCCTGCTGGAAGTAGGTGAGCTGCAACCTTTCAAGAGTTTTTGATTCTTTTCCTTCTGCTTGCTCCCAAGGGCTTGTGTCCCTAGCCAAATCCAGCTTTATAGGTACCTTGCCAAATACTTGTGTTGATACTGTAATGAACCTTGCTGTCGGGTTTTGCGTCACACTAGTGCTGTTTCATTCTCCATGTGTAGAATCTCAGATGTAAGTAAGGAAGAGAGGAGATCTTCTTTTCCTCTCCCAAACAACAGTTGTTTTCTTTTGAGTCAGCCTCTCTCAAACTCTATATTTCAGCTTGGTGGGCCCTACCAGCTTCTATCAGCTTGTACACACAGGAGCTTGTATGCTTAGCTCTGAACTTGATAGTACATGGAACTAAGTGGAGAGAGTTAGGCTTGAAGTGAGACTCTGGCCCCATCTGCATCTAGCATTTGCTCCGCTGTTGTACCAAACCCACGCTGGAACAGGAATGCCCCTCTCCACTGCATGCCATTTTCACTTTGATTAACTGTCAGATTTTATGGCAGTGTCCAGACTCCATGCCACTTTCATTTTGTTCGATCTCTCAGTTTTATGGAAGCTGTCTGCATATATTTATGGCTGTTCATGGGTGATTCTGCAGTCAGCATGGCATTCACCCAGGGTATTTGAATGTGGTTTTAAGCCGCCTCTTTTTCTGTTCCAGTGTGGGTTTCGTAAAACAGTGGAGCAAATGCTAGATGCAGATTGGGCCATAGAAAAAGGAAGGTGTCTTCCATCTGCACTGCACTGGATATTTTAGTGTGAATTTGTGCTTGAACTGGGAAGTGGGCCATATCACACTGATACTTGCCTATAGTGCATCTGTTCCTGCCTCATCCCCCCTCCCATCACAAGTTGCTGTTATACAAACAACCCTTTCCCCATCATTCACCCATCATAATAACAGGTAACTGATAGCTATGTTATAAAGAAAAACAGTGAACTTACATGGGATTTTGACCAGTAAATGAATACCTCAGCAACCATACGAAACAAGTCTTCAGCCTCAGGGTTGGGTTCTTTTAGCCACTTTGCTCTGAAATTACATAAATGAGATGCTTTACGTAGGCCCTGGTCACACGGAGCATTAGCCATGCTAAAGAGACGGAAGATAGGTGGATTTTCCACCACATCTGGGAAGCATAGAGCTCCCGTGGCTCAACTGAGGCTTCCCACCGAAGATGCGCGGCAAAAAACTAGTACCAAAAAAGTAGTACCTGCCAAAATTACATTTCTACTATCTGCATGCAGAATCGTTTTGCCCTACTCTAGATTGCCATGGCAGCTGAGCCTTTCTCTTATGATATGATAGCAGCCATGGCTCTCTAAGAAACTCAAAATATCCTATTTTGGTTAAGTATGAGGAAGAGAAATTGCTCCTTGTGCTACTCATTTCAGATACAGGGCGAGAGTCTGTACTTGTACAATCATTCTGGCAGAAAACTGATTATACCTTGTAAGCATGGGTAGCCGCTAAACATGATTCAATGTGCATTGAAGTTCTTTCCTGTCCAGCACTCTACATACCTGTTATAATCCACAAATCTGATCAGCAATGGGTAGAAGGCATAAAGATCCCTTGCTAGAGTAGTGAACTCATCTAGGATTAAGAGCTCTGCCTCAGACATGTCTCCTCTACCTTCTGCTCTCAAGTGTTCTTCATCAGATATAACCATTGCTGCTTTTTTCTTCAGTTTCTCCATCAGTGGCAGAAAATGGGTTTTCAACAGCTGGGGCTTCACTTTGCTGATGATTGGCTGAGAAAACACTATGTATGGAATCCATTAATATTATACATTACTAATTTGTGACGCTATCGTCAAAGCCATTCTTTTCCCACAAGTGTTAATAATTTCCCCACAAGAGTGCTTCCCACTCTTCACACACTCTTCTGCTACTAGAAGTTTCTGGTAATCATTGATGTGTATGTAAACCTATTGCACTCATTTTATCTCCACTCACATCCAGGATTCCAGCACTTCTTGCCACCTACCCCGCCCCCACTCCTTCTACTAAAAATATAACTAGAATACTGGAGCATCTATCTTTCTGGCCTTGTCCTATGCCATTGATTAAGCCAACTAAAATGTTGATGCTAAAATAATCTCTATTCTTATTTTTCAGTTTGTATATAAACAGAGCTCTCTTTCAGCTGAATACCCAAGCATTCAAAACAGAAATCATAGAAACCAAAGGATCAAGTAACATTTTTACCTGCTAATCTCTTCATCCAGGCTCCTTCATCAATGCCTAGGTTATTGTGTATGATTTTCAATATATTTCCCAGAAGGGTATTCATATGCTCTGAAGTCAAGGCTGTGCAGCACATTTCAGTCTTGTCAGGGTTGTTTTCTGGCCCATGTTCCCACCAATGTGACATGTAGCTACACAGCATGGGCAAAACTACTTCCATTACATGAGGCATTTGGGTATAGCGGATGCCAGATTCAGCTAATTCCACAATTTCTTCCATCAGTGTCTCCAGAGACGGAATGTTTGAGCAAAGCTCTTCTACACTGTTTGGTAAGCTGAGGCCTAGAAAGAATTATATTACCATTAACAACAACTTAATAGCAATAATGAACAAAGGCTTGCATTTATTTTGATTAGCTCTCTCTTACAATAAATATTTTGACATACCACTAGTGTAGTACCAAACTTTTGTGATATTTGATTATTTATATTCATTACTTCCTATGAGAAACCTGTCATTTTAAGGGATGCAAAAAGAAGAAGAAGAGATTGGATTTATACCCCGACCTTCACTACCCAAAGGTGTCTCAGAGCGGCTTACAAACTCCTTTCCCTTCCCCTCCCCACAACAGACACCCTGTGAGGTAGGTGGGGCTGAGAGAACTCTTGACAGAAACTGCTCTTTTTCAAGAACAGCTGTGCCAGAGTTATGGCTTGCCCAAGGTCATCCAGCCAGGTGCAAGTGGAGGAGTGGGGAATCAAACCCGGTTCTCCCAGATTAGAGTCCGCGCACTCAGGGGTCATTTTGTAGGAAAAGAGGTGCAGGAGCTCATTAGCATAACGCATTAGCATAACTTATTTGCATATGCCACATCTCCCGACATCACTGGAAGTGTGTCAGAAGGCAACACCCACCGCTCAGGCTCCACTGGACTGTTTTGGATTGCTAGCTATGGGGAGGGGGGAGGAACGTGCAGATCTGTCCTCGCAGAGGAAGGAGAGCTTGTACCTGAAGGGTAGGCCGGGGGGGCTCTGCAACTTACCTGGCTGCTTCTTGCTCCTTGTGGCCTGACTGAGGGTTGCTGGGAGCAGGGGGCTGGGCTTATTGCATGTGCCCGCCCCCTAGACTCCGCTCCTGTGCGCTCCCACAGGAAATGACCCCTGCACGCACTTAACCACTACACCAAACTGGCTCAATTGAAAAGGTCAATCAAGGCCCCTGCCACACGGCAGGGGGAAAAGCGGCAAAAAGCGTGGCTTTTAAAAGCCGCGCCAAAGTTGAAACGGCGCGGCGGGATCCCACGCCTTTTCTCCCCGGCACGATCAGATGCTGGGGAGAAAACACAGATCGGACGCCGAGCCAGCCGAACTGCCAGCCGGCGATCAGACTCCCGGTTTGCGGCGCAGCAGGGAGATGAACCACCTCGGTAGGTGGTTCCTACTTGCTCCGGATCATCGAGTGGATGGGCCAGTTCGGGGACGGAAGCACCACGCTTCCCAGATGTTGTGGTGTGATCGCGGCCATTTGCTCCGCCCCCGAACCATCCCGCTATTGGCCCAAATCCCCTCGTGTGAACGGGACCTAAAAAAACCAAAACCTTCCCAGTCTTTCATCTAAGTTTTTGCATGTTCACAGATATTGCTTTATTGGCTCTGTTACTCTCCCTTCATGCTTTTTTATGCTCATAAATTGGCATTGCTTGTATTCATTTGTTTTTCAACCTCACTGCTGAAAGTAGAGCCACATGCTGATACATGTTAAACTACCCTCTTTTAATTTCCCTATATACAATGTGTGGCTTTAAAAACAACTGCAGAACTAGAAGACTCTTTTTGTTAATTCTCTTGCTTTGCCACAATGCATATACTGCTAGACATTTAGAGAGTATTTTTAAAACATACTGTTCTACATAGATGGAACATAAATGCCTGGCTTTAAAAACAGAAGATTTAAAAGTTTTTAAAACACACTACTTTTCAGCCTACTGCTGCATGATGATGCATATAAAATCTGTATTTTTAGAAGTCCAGAAATCCCTTTACATTTTGTTTGTATTTTCAAAGTGCCTCAAAAAGTGCAAAAGTTTATGAAACTTGACTAGTGCTACATATCACTTATATTTCAGTTAACATAAAGTATACATTTATCATCATCATAATCAATATTAGGACACATCTTGGAAATACAACACTATGACACTTTCAATGAAAGCTATTTGGAAAATGAAAGAACCAAGATGAAATGAGATATTCTAAGCCTCGATGAATAATAAAGCCTCTGACAGACATTTATCATGAAATCTCACAACTATAAAGTTACCCACCCATGAGATCCAAAGCTGAGAATGGAAAATGAAAAAATAAAGAGCATTTATTACATTTTGTGATACAATTAGTCTGTAAATAACAACTGCATGAAAGCCTTAACCACGTCACCTATATGTAAGCCTTTTAATTTAACGGGAGAATCCTTGTCATCTTTTCTCAGCCCAATTTTGTCTACTTAAGAACTGACTCAAGGGGTGATTTCCCACAAGTGCTGCTCCGCACTCACTCCTCCCTTTTGCCCCATGGTACGTGTCAATTTCACACAAGCTGCTGCATGCCCACATTTTGCCCCGCAGCTTCGTGCGATTTCCCCCGCGTCTACTCAGTCCTCAAAAAACAGGATTGAGTAGATGTGGGGGTGGGGAAAATCGCACAAAGCTGTGAGGCAAAATGCAGCTGCGCAGCAGCTTGTGTGAAATTGACACGTACTATCGGGCCAAAGAGAAGAGTGAACGCAGAGCAGCGGGAAATCACCCTAAAACATCTTATGTCCTTGAAACTAAATTAATAGTAAATAGTAGCCAAGTACATTGAGGAGGAGCACACAACAAAAAGGACATATATACGTTTGAGAATATATACAAAAACATCATTTCCCAAGATATTTATGTATGGAGGCATTCAGTGTACCTGCTCTGTCTTTTGCAGACTTGGTGTTGTAAATAGAATAAGGGTTGTGCTTGTTCAGATGAGTTTCCAAAAATGCCACAGGAAAGGCACCAGCAAAAGCAGCTAAACATTCACCTAAAGCTGAACGCTGCCTGAAAATTTAAAAAGTCCTATCATTATTTATATACCATCTCTTGACTGAATACACTTAGAGCTACCTTAGAATAATCTTTTTTTCATTATTATTGTAAACGTCACATTTTTATTGGATTATTATAACTACTAACATAGTGACAGAAACCCTCACTGAATATAGATGGGAATAGAATAGTCTTGGACTATTGCATAAATATTAGACATGTAAAATATCTGCATACAATAAATAGATAATATGAACGGGGAATTACTAAAACAAAGAAAAAAACAGTATGTGCTATGGGATGATGTCACTTTCGGGTGATGTCTGGGGGTGCGAGACGTGCCTGGCAGAGGTCAACGCTGTATGGACTTATATTGTTGCTGCTATATTTATTGTTATTACTGTTGTTGGTTAATAATTTTAGAATTCCATCTTGTACTTTTATAGTTAAATAATTTTAGAGCACCGTAAACCAAATTTTAGTAAATTGTATTGTTGTATTTTTTATATTATTCTGTATTGTTTTAATGTTTTAACTTGGGCATTTTTGCCCCCTGTGAGCCGCCCTGAGCCTTCGGGGAGGACGGGGTATAAATTCAAAAAATAAAATAAATAAATAAATATATTTAATTATTTTTCTTACAATATCAAATAACAGATTCCAAAAGTCTACTCTGTATAATTTAAGCATTTCTACAGCTGCACTCATATATGCCAATTTTTATTTCCATATTTTATAAAGTAAAACCAGATTCTCCGCTACAATTTTTTCACCTCTTTTTGTTGTTCTATTGCTTCAGCCACTTGAAAATGAATGATGGCACCAGCTGGAATTGTCCTGTAGTAGCTAAGAGTGCCATTAACCAACTGAAGGTTGGTTGATATGATTGTTCCTAGAAAACACTGAGTGAGAATTTATCTTCTGGGCTAGAATATTGTAATGCACTTGACATGAAGAAACCTTGAAGTCTATTTGAAGACTTTGATGTTCAAAACATTTATGGACAGCAGTGAGCAGGAGCATAGAACACGCACACCAAGAAATCTCTATTTGTTCCTCATTTGTTTCTGAGCACAATTTACAGTGCTTAATCTATCTTTTAAAATATCCCTGACTCAATTTATATTGAAAGTACTTTCTCCTAATATGAATTCCCCATAGATTGTGATTTCTAGAGGCCTTGTTCAAACTTTGTCATGGGCTAGACCAGAGGTGTCAAATTCATTTCTTACAAGGGCTGGATCTGACATAAAAGTTACTTTGTTGGGACGGGCCACGTCTGCCATAAAATGTAATGCCAGGTACCAGAGATATAAACTTTGTAAACAACACGGGTAAACCTAATTAACAATATTTCTATTCAAATAACAAACAAAAGAAATTGATTCCTAGGAGTGAAAGAATTGATTTACTGGGGGATCCACAAAAAACCTAATAAATGTATTTAATCATATGCAAAACTAGATTTTTCCCAAGGGATACCATACCCACTCCCTAGCTATTTCCTTTAATTTCTTGGTAGCTTTGACCACACACACATCACTGTGTGTGCCTGTCTGCCCCCCCCCCTCAGCCTCCTGCCCTCCCTCTCTTGTGGGGCGGATAAGAGCCCTGGATGGGCCAGTTCTGGCCCCCAGGCTGCATGTTTTACACTCCTGGACTAGACTAATGGTAGCAATAAACCAAAACTTTCCCTGTATTGGCATCCTCTCTCAGGAGCTTCCTCTTCAAAGAGGACCAACAAGCTGACTTGGGTTTTACCTTTAAAAAATTAGATAGAACTAAATTCCAGCAGGCCTTTTGTGGGATATGAGCAAGAATAGGCATTTATGCCCCTGAATCTTCCATACTGGTTTTTCAGCTCTTCTCTCTCGTTGTCATTTCTGTAATGCATTGTTTGCAATTTTAATGGATAATGGTACTAGACTGTTTTTAACTACTGTTTTATATACTGTTTTTTATAATGTTGTTAGCTGTCCTGAGGGCTCCATAGAGCCCTGTTTGTCAGGATACAATTTAAAAAAATAACTCAATTGAAGCAAACGGTAAAATTCTTCAAACATTAGGTGTTTTAAGAATCCACTTTGAATGTTTTCCCCCTTACCGCTCCACATAGATACTCTTGCTGGTTCCCAAAGCATATAAACTGGCCAGTATTCTATAACAAGAGACCTGAACATCTTCCACTAAAAAACAGAAAGGAAAAATAAGAATGAATTTTATTGTATTGCATTTCAGTGCTCAGCAAAAAGTAGCTAAAATAATATAATCTAATTACAGTTTAATATTTTAACTATTAAAGTGTCATACATGTAAAAATGCAGACCAATCGTATTATGAGATAAAATTATATTCCTAATTCATTTAATGTTTGAGCCTAAAGCATTACACAGGTACTTATTAAAGTAAAATACATACCTGTTACTAGAACATACAGTGGAGAGAAATGGTGCTTTATTAGCTTTCTCTAGATGGTAACCCTCTGAGTAATAAAGTTTTACAACTTTCAGCTGTATAATAGTATTAAATTCTCATACGTTATATAAACAGTATATACCATTTTAGAGCTTTCTAACTTTAATTTATGGTTCTGGGTAATAATTTTTTACTCTGCTAAATGATTAAATAAGTCTTCCTTTCATAGAAGAGAACTTTAGGATTCAATTCAGTGTCAGGAAATTGATTTAAAGGGTTTTCAGTCTGAATACAGAACACATCCTATGTTATCACAGCATGAAGTTACATATAAGGCTGTCTCAAACAGATACATTCCAATAGTCCATCATGTATTTCTTTTTTTACTAAAACTGGTTATGGCTCTCTAAGCAGAGACATTTCCCAGTCCTCCTACTGAGAATCTTTTAACGATACCAGGCAAAGCACCCTAAAAGACTTAGTCTGGCCTACAGGTGGCTCAAGTGGTTAAGACGCTGAACTGCAGGCTGTGGAAGGTCAGTAGTTCAGCAGTTCAAGACCCGGGTGCCGCAAGACAGGGTAAGCTCCTGTCTCTAGTTCCAGCTCCTGCCAACCTAGCCGTTCGAAAGCAAGAAATTGCAAGTAGATAAATAGGGACCACTTTGGTGGGAAGGTAACAGCGTTCCGTGCACCTTGGTGTTTAGTCATGCCGGCCACATGACCACGGAAACGTCTTCGGACAGCGCTGGCTCTTCGGCTTTGAAACGGAGATGAGCACCGCAACCCTAGAGTCGGATTCGACTGGCTTTCGAGCAAGGGAACCTTTACCTTTACCTTTTTAGTTACCATCCTTATCTTTCAAGGCTGTATTCAAAATGAGGTAATTGGTTAATTACAAGAACCAGTATTGGTCACATGACTAGAAGGGAGGGAGGAATTAGGAGTGGTTGCTAACAGCCTCTGGAATGTTCCATCAAAGGGGACCTATGATTGGAGCATTTAAACCATCTGATCTCGTGAGACAAAAAGCTACAATTACGGTGCAGACCAGAGGGAAGCTATGGTAACTTTATGCTTTTACCATGCTAATACACTTTGATATGCTATGATACATCATGATGGATGGCTACATATAGAACACTTTAGGCTACAGCTTGGACTCTCATGCTACAAGAAGGTATGCCATCTAATACCAGGTACTAGATGTATTAGAAAGTTAGCTTTTTTATTTCTTTGCTGCTAAGTAGTAAAGACTATTGCACAACAATATTCCTTTTTTTAACTGTTTAATAAACCTTTATATATGTATTTTACAAAGGTTTGCTTTATTTGTGCACATTCAATCTCGTGGACCCACAGGGCTGAGGGTTGCTCACATAAAAAGCAGTGGTAACCCAGGGGGACCCAGGCTTGGGTTTCTGACACAGGGATTAAATTGGAGATTTTCTGCATGAATACTATAGATTCTGTAGCTTATCCTTCAAAGTTCTTAGTGTAAATTTGAACACATGAAGAAAGGGGGGGGGGGACTCAACCCAACAAAATGGAATCAAAAGCCATGAAGGTAAGTTAGAAAACAAGTAAGGGGCCAATAGTTAAAGCTTAAATATAGAATAATTATAAGTAAAGATGCATGTAATTATTGTTTATTGCAGAGACTTTTAAAAACATACAAAGGCCCAAATCAAGCCTCATAACATGATAAAAGTGACATATGCACAAGAGGAAACACTTATGACCTAACGTGTTTCAGCCCAGAAAAGCCTTCCTCAGAGGTCAAATATTAAAAGGTACATATAGGCCTCTGTTACAATCAAAAGGCACTTAACAAGTTGATACAGGACCAAAAAAGGAATTTTCCAATGTGGAATCAAATGACACAAGAAAAATATTATTTGTGCAGCCTCCTTGAAACTAGCCTGGTGTCAATGACAGAAACATACAAGCTGAGTAATGTTGCATGTGCATGCCTTCCAATTTTGTTCCAGAAAGTATGGGTGAAACCACCTGATCAGAGCCAATGTGCCTTCACTATAGAGCAGTGCTAAAAGACAGGAGTGACCTGCCTTGTGCATATGTCACTTTTATCATGTTATGAGGCTTGATTTGTGCTGTTGTATGTTTTTAAAAGTCTCTGCAATAAATACACGTATTTTTACTTATAATTATTCTATATTTAAATTTTAATTATTGGCCTCTTACTTGTTTTCTAACTTACCTTCGTGATCCTTGACTGCAAATTTGAACATGCCAACAGAATTTATCATGTAACGAGCTTGATTTGGCCACAGTCTGCTGCTTCTTTTGCTAGCAGGAGAAGGAGAGGGGTGATTTCACCCATTTCCCCTCCCCAGTGCAGTCCCCTGTACCAATACTGTAGTATTTAAACAAAATTGTTTGAATCCTAAGAATCACAAACAGGACTTCCATGTGCAGACTGGAGCTTCCTACCTCCCCTATTTTCTGCAGCCCCAGCTGAGCACATAGTTTGGGGATGGATGAGTGGGCTGTGTCTCAGATGGAAAATCCATGAAAATTATGCCCCACTTTCATGAGCAGAAGAGCCCTCCACACCTTTGGATCCAATCCTCTGGAATTAACATTGGAATTCTTAGTATTAAAACAGTCAAAAGCCTGCCATACAATGGCCTTGAACAGTTAACTGTGTTATTGTACAGAAATTTCACTCTAATGATACCAAACACTAAACAACACAGAGATTAAGTACAAAATAGCATCTAAACAATACCTACATATCAGGTCTTCTCCAAATTGATGCTGTCCAATATGTTCAAATAAAGAAGATAGCACTGGCAGAAGAGCCACAGTGGTATAATTGATTATTTGCGTCACACCTTTCGGCTGACTCCTTGTGTGTGTAAACTGTCCTTGCTTGAGGTTTTCCATTGTCTTCTCCAGATCTTCTGCAGCATTATCCAAAAATGTCCTCAGAGCCATCTTAACACTCTCCAGACCTGTCTTCATCACTGTTCTATATATTTCATGCCATAAAATGTTATTTTATTCTGTTATGAATTTAAATAATGCAATAAATAGTCCCTGAAAAATCTAAAATACAAGATTGACGCAATCCAGGAATTAATGTATATGGCAGTAGAATTCACAGGGTGGATCCTAACACTAGCCTACCAGTTCACCGAGCAAAGTTTGAAACTTTCCTACAGCCAAAGAAACCTTGCTCCGTCTTAAGTGGCTCTTCCATTGGAAGAAGGGCCACATAAACTGGACAAAGCCTTCTTAGACTAGAGGAAGGCTCCTTGCTGGATACTTGGTTGCATTAATCATAACTTTATTTGGCCCCTATCCGGCCACCGGCCATCCTTAATGGCCAGCTCTGCTCCCACTTCTTCATTCTTTGTTTGAAGCTCGGCCCACCCTCGCACACTGATCAATGTACAGGCTCTTGCTGGTCACCTATTTTGGTAGGCGGCTAGGAATTTTTGATCCCTGCCTGATTGGCTTGTGGCAGAGGTGTTTTTTTGCCTACCTTGTATGGCTACTCAGTGGGTTGTGGAATTGGCTTATGGTGGTATGGCTAATTAAGCTGGTCACTTTGAGTTTGGCTGGATGGTGCTGGGTGATTGATATGCAGCTAGGGGAGCACCAATTAGCACCCCCAGTTTAGGGGGTTGGAGTCTGGCAGGATCAGCCCTTGGGTTGTGTGACCCAGGGTGAGGAATACAGACTGCCTTTTGGTACTGCCCGGATTGATCTTTCACTAAAGTTGTATGGCTTGGTGGCTTGTCCTCCAGGGCATGGCCCACTTGCTGTGCCATCCTGGTGTGAGCCACATCTATTGGCTCAAGCCGGGGGCAGGGTGGCTCTCCTGTTATATAGCAGGGGAGGGGTCAGGAATGACCCTTGGCCTTGACCATGCCACAAGTTAGATTTGCCCTTGCCATTTAAATGCAGGTTAAAAGTTAAATAAAGTGGCCCATAGTTTATCCAATTGCTGGTGTCTCTCTCTATTCCAAATGAGGGGGCAAACTGGAAAAACCTTTTTTATAATTTTAAAATAATTTCTATAGTGCCTCATAAAACATTTAAGGCAAAGTATAGGAATTCCAAAGATTCAGAGAATAGGGACAGTATTGGTTTTCACATACATCTATGTGATCATGTAAGCATGCCTTAATCCTTCCTGAGAAAAGTACATAGGAATTATAATGTTTATCCACAGACAAAATATTTTAAAATTTCCAAGTTAGTATGCCAATATTGGGTAGAAGAGATGGAACTGAAATATGCTTTAGCTTCAGTGTTTTTATGGCACTTCAGTATGGCTAGCATTCTTGTGATCAAACCCATTTACTGTGATGACCCCAAACTCCTCCTACTAATGCTGTTCTGCTGTGAGTTCTCCATGTCACAAATGGAACTAAATATGTATTCTTATTGCCTACTATCATTGGTGCATCTTAATGGGGGGGGGAGAAGGGGCATGCTGGATACATATTACTATGGAAGATCTGGGGAAGTACAAATTCCAACATAGACACATACATCCACATATAGTTCACATAAAATCATAGTAGTTTAACAGAAGACTGTGGAAGGGAAATCTTAGCAAAGCAAAGCCATAGTATAAGCACAGAAAAAATGTCATTCATTCAAACCTATTATCAAAAATTCAGATATAACAATAATTCTATAGTATGCATAAACCACTATTCTCTAGTAAATCAATTCTGGTCACTATAGACTTGTTTTTGAGTTGAAACAATAATTTAATGAACTATGTTCAGGGTTTTACCTTGCATCCAGGGTCTGGCCCAGGATATGAAGACAGTTGACTATTGAAGTTGCATCATTTCCTGAGAAGGAAAAGAATTTTTAAATTTAAAGTATTCCTTTTTTTAAAAAGCAGCACTGTTAAATTTACAAATAGAAAAATGCACAATTGGGAAGAAGAACCACCTGCCTAATTTTAATATTAAAGTAGAACTTTGTACAATATTGTTCCAACATTTTTAGCAGACGCTAAAAACAGAACGAATGATGCACCACACCACAAATGGCTGAAGCAGATAAAGCATATTTCACTATTGTGTAGAGCAGTTTAAAGAGCATTTATTGTGGCTTTAGGGCTGCAGCGAAATCTGTGTCCCTTCAAATAACAGCAATCTTGAAATCCTACTTAAAACAAACTCCAGTGATCACTCCCTGTTTTTCATACGTCACTGAATTCATTATAGAAGACATACATTGCTACTATGTATCACTACATAATGAATATTATCTGGATAAGGTGGGGGGATGTGAGAAGTGATTGTACCTTGAGTGGGCATTTGCCCATGAGGGCCTGTGTTACTTACTCTGGCCTCACCCCATTTGGCTGTCTGTCTCTTGTTGGCCTGCCTTGAGGGAGTGTGGCCAGCCTGCATTGACTGGAAAGAAAACGTGTTCCCTCTGCTAGCTATATCTTATAAAAGGGGGTGGCTGGGGGCAGAGAAGGCATTTAGCACCTTCTTCCAGAGAAATCACTTTAATGACAGAAATCATTTTTCACTTAGGATCTGCTGGATACACATGTTAGCAATAACATATGAAATTTTTGCAGTTTTAGTTATAATAATATATTCTTTTGGATGAAGGGTGATTCTGTGAAATCATACACAATTTTCATCATATACATATGCCACTATGAAAATCTAGAGTACAGTCCAGCCAAATATAAGAATGTCTAGGTCCTTCTGATTGCATCATTTATTATTATCTGCATTTATATCTTGCCCATCCCGTGGACAAGCTCAGGGCAGGTAACATCATTATAATAAATACAATTTCAGTTTAAGACACGATAAAACATTATAACAATTAAAACAATGGGTACATTATGAAAATTATACATTGCCCATTAAATCAAAAGGATGTCAAGTGCCTTAGTATATAGTAAACTGTGGCTTGAATTCAATGGAGCATTTCCAAAGGCAGTCATAAGAACATAAGAGATGCCAATGTTGGATCAGGCCAAAGGCTCATCCAGTCCAACACTCTGTGTCACACAGTGGCCAAAAATACCAGGTGCCATCAGGAGGTCCACCAGTGGGGCCAGGACATTAGAAGCCCTCCCACTGTTGGCCCCCCCGAGCACCAAGAAGTCAGAGCATCACTTGCCCCAGAGTCCCTATCTATACCTTTTGGCTAATAGCCACTGATGGACCTCTGCTCCATATGCTTATCTAATTCCCTTTTGAAGCCACCCATGCTTGTAGCCGCTACCACTTCCTGTGGCAGTGAATTCCATGTGCTAATCACTCTTTGGGTGAAGAAGTACTTCCTTTTATCCGTTCCAACCTGACCGCTCAGCAATTTCATTGAGTGCCCACAAGTTCTTGTATTGTGAGAAAGGGAGAAAAGTACCTCTTTCTCTACTTGCTCTATCCCATGCATAATCTTATAAAACTCAATCATGTCACCCCTCAGTCGTCGTTTCTCCAAGCTAAAGCGCCCTAAGCGCTTTAACCTTTCCTCATAGGGAAAGTGTTCCAACCCTTTTATCATTCAAGTTGCCCTTTTCTGCACTTTTTCTAAAGCTAGGCACATTGCATTTGGCCAAAATCTCTATGGTCACCATAGAGTTTTTTTGCTAAATGCTAAAGTGCCCCCCCACAACTTGCCTGGCACGATGATGTCACCTCTGGATGACATCACTGCACTGGGCACATCAGAGCCGCGGAGCTCTTTGGGGGTGGGGCTCCCCCACTGGCCAGCTGGCCAGTGGCAAATCAGGGGGCCCCAAATAATGGGGAAACCATCCCCTACCAGGGGGTGGCAACCCTAAAGACAGAGGGTAATTCCATGTGCCAACTCACAAAGATGGGATGTGAGAGGAGTGACAGGTCCTTCTTGGAGCCTGGGTGACCAATACAAAGCATTATTGGGTCCCTCATAGACATAAAACCCCAAGAAAACTTACATTCAACAAATGTAAGAAGTGCTCAGACATTAAGAGTCAGAAACAATACCATAAGGATAGCATTGTGAGACATGAGGAGTGAAAGAAAACCCCTGGCAGTATATCCTGGCCAGGGCATCTTACATTGTTAAACTTCATGCATGGGGGAGGGCTACACACTATGTGCTCACTCCATATGTGGGAGGGCTACACACTAAAATCCCAGTTAAAAAAGGAAGCATCAGGAAAATTCAACAAGCCAGTGTGGTGTAGTGGTTAAGAGTGTGGGACTGGTACCTGAAGCCCTCAGGTTTCAATCCCCACTTGTGCTATGGAAGCTTGCTGAATAACCTTAGGCCAAATCACAATCTCTCAGCCTAACCTACCTCACAGGGTTGTTGTGAGAATAAAATAGAGGAGGGGAGAATGTTGTAAGCCACTCTGGATCCCCGTTGAGGAAAAATGCAAAGTATAAATGAATTAAATAAATTTAAAAAGTTAACAAGGGCTTATACCCCTGCCGCAAATGATGCAAGAAAGGCCTCAACATTAGCTGAAGGGGGGGGGGGAAGTGGAAAGAAGACTCAAAAATATTTTTTAAAGTCTTTATGAGTCATATAGGGGGCAAGACTTTTCCCCAATGAACGTCCATGGTAGAGACAGCAACCAAGTAAGCATCCAGTGTGCATGGTTGTACTGATTCAGGCTGGTCTCATTTGAACATTGAAACTGAGCCCCTAGCCAAGCTATTCTGTTGGCTTTCCACCGGGCCACACCTGTCTTTGGAAATCCAATGAAGAAGAGGAAAGTTTAAAGTGTCTGAGTCCCAATCAGTGGCCAAAACAAAACCAGTAGCACAAGAGTCAGGGTCCATGCCCTGCTACAGCCTGAGGAGAGACTCTTCCACTCAGAGGTACAAGATTTGGCAGTCAAGGAAAGGCAGCCTTCTGTAGGCTATCCTGTCTTGCATTTTGTAAACAGCCAAGGTCTAATACTAAACAAAAGGTAACACTGGAGTTCTTTCACTAGCAGTTTGCACCCCCAGCAGTGCAAGGACTCTGCAGAAAGGGCACAAAGATGCATAAATAAGGTAGCCAGGTAAAAATACTTCAAAGACCATGATATACATAATTAGATGACCTGGACCTAAAAGTAGGTATTTTCATCTGCCCACCTTAAGAAGTAAACTCTTTCATCTGCCCTTCTTAATAAGTAAGAAGCACTCGTAATAATGCCCTTTTTCTGCTCAGGGGGAGTAATGAACTGAATAGTTCAATTAATAGGAAGACAGGCAACGTCACCACAGAGGTGGGGAAGATCTTGAGTCTAAGCCCACAAAGCAACACAGATCTGAAAAAAAGAATTGTAGGAAACCTGTGAACTGTGGACAAGGCAGCAGACCACAGAATTTTTACTCCCTCTTGTAAATTACCAGAGATGATAGACAAATGAATTTAAAGGATTTTTCAAAAGTCTCCTTCCAGAGACTCTTTCTGTTGGAGATGCCAGGGACAGAATCTGGCACCTTGTGCTTACAGAATGTGTGCACTACCATTAAGACGCCACATTAATTGAAGGAGGGGAAGAAGTATTTGGTACAGAAAGCCTGTTCCTTTGCACAGGGCATTGTCCATCAGTACTGGAGAATTAATAGTCTCTTTGCAGAGCTGCAGTAACAACCACTTCCTTTTTAAAAAAATACTGTCCTAGAGTAGACTACAGCTGTCTAAAACGCTGGTTCAGTTTATAGGAATAGGCTTGTCACAAACACTGCAGTCACAGCCATCTGAAGAAGTAAGCTGGACTCACAAAAGCTCATATTAAAATAAATGTTAGTCTTTAAAAGTGTCACTGGGCTTTTGCTTTATTATACATAGAGGCAATCTGTGATTGGAGATGCTAAATGGCCTCAATTTATACCACTTTGGCCAATATCCTTAATATTCCAGAATGGGATTAAAATGGTGTGTCATGCTCCAGACAAAGGACATGATAACAGGATCACAACAACTTGTTGATTAGCAATTTACAAGGGGGGGGGATTCCACTTCCCATCCAGGCTAGCATTTTACAGCACTCACATTCCACAGTGGCAGAATGAGAGATCAAGTGCTGTTTAATCTGCATGCCATCCACAAAAGAGGTGACCTGTGGAGTCAAATTAATATTTACTAGAGGGATCCCAGCAGCAGCCAATTTAATGAGAATTTGCATGTCAAGGGCTTCCTCCAGTACAGCATATGTTTTGGGTAAAAACACAAGACACTCTTTAACAAGATGTGTGTTTATTTACCTGTACCCCACAATTCTCCCCAACAGGGACTCAAAGTGGGTTATAACATTTTCTACTGTTCTATTCCATCCTCACAACAACCCTGAGAGGCAGGTCAAGTTGAAAGAATGTGATGGACCCAAGGTTAAAGGCGAGCCTTTAAGGTCGGATGGCATTTGAGCATGGACCTCCCAGATCTTACTCCAGTGCTCTAAATGGACCACACTAGGTCTCATTACAAATAGTCTCATACAAGAATGACTCCAAAGACAGGCTGAACCCAATTAAAGCAAAAACTCTCTCTCAAAAGCACCAGTGGGAATGAGAACCCCGAGGAGACCCAGTGTCATTCCCTGATAAGAAGGGAGTATAGGCATATATGGATCCAACAGGAAAACTGCCTTCCAAGGGACTGGCCTTTGAAAAAGAGCACTGCAATCCAAGGGTCTATGAAATCATGCCATCAGGATAAATTGTGGACAGAAAGAGCAAGCAGCTCTATTTTGTGATCACTGAGGCAGTTAAGGAACAGATAATGGACGTTTATCCGCTTCATTTTAAAGCCACAGTTGGGACAATCCTGAAGAGGCCCCCTTTGAGCTATAATGACGAAGGTGAAAATCAGAAACTTTTCTTCTTTAAAT